TTATCTGTGTATGGTTGTTATCTGTTATATATCGACATATTGTGTCGAGTTGAGGTTTACTGCTTGTGTTGTAGCCAACAAACCCTGGAGCATTCCAGATATAAGTTAAGGGTCGGGTAGGGCATGCCAGACTCATACTGCATGCTCAGTAGCATTCCAGATATGAGTTGAGGGTCGGGTAGGGCATGTCAGCCTCACACTGAGGGCTCAGTAGCATTCCAGATACGAGCTGAGGACCGATTGGTATGCCAGACTCGTACTGAGGGCTGAACATTGGTATTCCAGTCTGATGACTGATTGGGTCAAGGAGCAAGCCAGACATAAGGTGTGGGCCCCGAGGGCAAGCCAGACTTATGTTGTGGGCTCAAGAGCAAGTCAGATATGAGTTGTGGGCCTGATAGGAAAGCCAGACTCATACTATGGGCTCAGGGGTAATCCAGTCTTTTAGCTGTGGACCCAATACATGTTGTTATTTAAATATGTTATCTGTTGTGTGTTGGTACTTTGGGGGAACTCACTAAGCTTCATGCTTACAGTTTTGTTTATGGTTTCAGGTTCTTCAGAGGACCGTGGCAAGGCGAATCGTGACCGTACACATCCTTGGTTTTACTACTGATTGCATCTTTACCACTCCATCTTTATGGATGTTACATCATCTCAAAGGTTTAAAGCTTGCATCTTTACCACTCCATCTTGTAGATCTAGAGTTTTCCTCTTTAAAGACACTTTTTTGGTCCCAAAATGATGATTCTTGAACATAGCATGTTCTTCACCCTTTGAGTTGTCCTTTCAGACCCTTGGAAGGGTCTTGAGTCACAAAAATGGAGTTCAAGTAGTTGGTTTTGCTCCATCCATCATTTAGAAGGTCTTAACGAATTAAGAAGTTGAGATAAGCACTTAATGGACATGCAAAGTCATAAAGTTGGAAACTTTATGACTCTTGAGAGCATTTTAGCCATGGATCTGAAAAATGGACGTGATTGCTTAAGCCATTAAGCACTTATTGAGTTTTGAAGCCTCTGGGAGTACGCCCCCCGCATACTCGGAGTACGCCCTGCATAGGAGGTCAACCACCCCGATGGTGGTCAACATGCGAGGATTCGGGTACGCCAAGCGTACCTTCGGAGTACACCCCGCGTACTCACTTTGAGTGGATTCGGTTGAGTTGAGTCGGTTAGGTTGACTCGGCTGGCCTGACTCAGTTGACTTAGTTGGTTTGACCAGTTTGACTTTGACTTTGACCAAGTTTGACCTTAAGGGTATTTTGGGATTTTGATGGAGGTTGGTCATTTGGCTGGAATAGGTGTTGGTTAGATAGTTGAGATTCGAAGTTAGGACCTCATCAGCTTTTCTCCAACTTGCGAGATGAGTTTTCCTCATTGTAATTGCGGGTCGAAGGCACCAAGGTCGGCCCATTGGATTAGATATCATGTTATGTTATAATATATTATTGTGATGTAGTGATCTGTTAGATCGGTATCCTGGTATATAGGATGATGTTATGCTTAGTGATTTGTAAGATCTGTCTGATTGTCTGTTGATTGGTTATATGTATGTTTATCTATTATGTATATATCGACATGTTGTGAGTGGTTTGGGTTGAGGCGGACCAGTGTAGACTGAAGGCCAAGAGACCTAGGGCGTCCCGGATAGACCGAAGGCCTAAGAGGAGTACCAGTCAGGCCGAAGGCCCGAAGAACGGTCCTGATAGGCTAAAGGCCCGGTGAGGCGTTCCAGTGATATTAAAGGTTCTGTGAGCGTTCCAGATAGTTTGTAGGCCGTTGCGGCGTTCCAGTAAGGCTGAAGACTCTGTATGCATGTTTTTTGTTATTATGTTTATGTGGTGGTACTTTGGGGGAACTCGCTGAGCGTTGGCTTACAGTTTTGGGTTATGTTTCAGGTACTTCGGACGACCGCGGGAAGGCGAAGGCGTGACCGTACACATCCTCTGATTATGACTTATGATTTTGGGAAACTCTGATGTTTTGAAAACTATGATTTGTAAACAAGTTTATGAATTTGGATTGAATTTAAAAGTTTGAATTTCTTGTGATTTTTATGGGTGTTACATTACAACAACCTAAAAATTCAAAGGAAAAACCGAAAAACTGATTAAGATGTTATAAATGAGGTGCAAGAATTATTTCATGAGGAAAACAATGGGAGGCCGTTAAAATATGGTGAGGTTTGGAAACTTTTAGCCTCTAGTCCGAAATGACAAAATATTTAGAACAAAGAAGTTGAAGCAAGTGTTGCAAAAAGGAACAAAAACGTCATCTACTAGTTTACATTATTTTCTCGGATGCTCGTGGTGGGTTAGACTTAAATGACGATAACAAGTTCTTGAACTAGAATAAATTGTCCGTTCGATGGGAATGGACAAAGTGAAAAATAATGAGTCTTCTTCTAATGCATTGGGATTCTGCCAAGCAGAGGAAATGCAAAAGGCGAAAATAAACTTCAAACAATAGAACTTGAACTCCAATGAACGTTTGGCATTCGAGAAAGAGAAATTTGCCCAAAAAAACACGCTCTAAAAAGCCAAATATGGGGGAGGAAAAATAACACATCATGATATGATTTTTTTATGCAAAGTACCGACCATCTTTTTGAAGACGAACTCGAAATTGTGTTACGGGTGAAGACGGACATTATGAAAATATCGCAGCTACACTTGTTTTGTTGGTGTGCTTTAGTTTTGATTCTTCCTTTTAAATGTCTTTTTAATTTTTTATGTAATGAATTTTTTTGTTAGTTTTGTATCCATTAAGAATTTTTATTAATTATAATATTTTATTTTTATTTAATAAATAAATAAATAAATAGGATGAGAGGAATTAAGTACGATCATTCTTAGATTTTAAAGAGTAAAGAATAATAAATGAAAAATAATATGGCGTCTAAATGACAGAATAAGTGTGTCATGAATATAATAAAGTAAAATGCAAATTTAATCATTATATATATATATATATATATATATATATATATATATATATATATTAAAGCACATGAATAGTTTTAACAGTAATTTTTTTCAATTCATACTTTTGACACTTACTTTTATTTGTTTATATTTTTGTCTTAACCTTTTCTAATTTTTGTCACTTTACTTTTAGTTTCTTACACTTTTGCCTTAACCTTTTCAAATTCCTACTTTTGCCACTTTTAACTTTTCCTAATTCATACTTTTGCCACTTTACTTTTATTTCCTTACACTTTTGCCTTAAACTTTTCCAATTCATTTTTCTTTTTGCCTTAACCTTTTCCAATTCATACTTTTGCCATTTTTAACTTTTCCTAATTCATACTTTTGCCACTTTACTTTTATTTTCTTACACTTTTATTTTAACCTTTTCCAATTCATACTTTTGTCACTATTAACTTTTCCAAATTCATACTTTTGCCACTTTACTTTTATTTCCTTACACTTTTGCCTTAACTTTTTCCAATTCATATTTTTTTTTTGCCTTAACCTTTTCTAATTCATATTTTTGCCACTTTAGTTTTATTTCTTTACAAACACGTATGAAAAAACCTTTCCGACCCATGCGAAGCATGGGTCCTTTTTCTAGTTATGATTAAAGGTGACATCCGTAATATTGTGAATTGCAAATTTGGTCATTGGGGTTAAAAACCATGTCCGCAATTTTAGAAGTTGGTAGAATGTGCATAAAGAAATAGGAATGTTTGTTTGGATGGATCGATTTGATCCGAATCAATCAAGCGAATCCGAATACATTTCGGTTTTCAAAACATTGATCTGAATAGTCCAAACTAAATTCAAGTCCAATTCAATCCAATCCGGTTGCAATTCGGTTGGATCAATTTTTATAATTCGGTTTTTAAAAATCAGAACATTTTAAAACGAAATATAATTATAATATCACCTAATTTTAAGCAAAGACAAATTATTTAGTTATGATTTAAAATTTATAAACAACTACTAAGAAGATATATTATAGTTTAATGTTTTATTGATAAAAAACTTTTGAAAGAAAATACATATATATGTTTTGTATTATGTGAAACTTTTTAAACCTATCTCAAAAAATATATTACAAAATTAACTAATAATTATAGATATATTAAAAATAAATAAATAATAAATTGTTATTCGATTTTTTTGGACTATTCGGTTCTTATTTCATAAACCAAAATCAATCTGAAATTCAAAATAATAATACGGTTTTGTTGAAAACCAATCCCAAAATCCAATTGTCGGAACAAAATAGTTCACTTCAAATTGTCCAATTGGTTTTTATCCAAACAGTGAAAGAACCCCATAAAAAATAAGCAAACCACATTAACAAAATGTACAATTTAATCATATATAAGAAACCAAAAAATAGTGAGTGAAGCCTACGAAATATACCATTTCAAAAAACCAATGATCTCATCTTATTTGTAAAAAAAAAAAAAAAAAAAAAAAAGAAGGTTAATTAGAACATAGATTTTTAACCAATTAGAACATCCTATGATTTTTAAGATTTTCAATCAAAAAAAACTCTTAAAAAAATCTATAAGAAAAACCAATAGATTTTTAAGCCTAATTAGAACATCCATAATATAAGATTTTCAACCAAAAAAACTCTTAAAAAAAATCTATAAGAAAAACTTTTTTAATTCAAAGCTTCTCAAATCTAACCAAAATTTCTTATTTGGGACCATAGATTTTTAACCAATTAAAAAACATCTAATTACAACTAATAAAAACAAATGAAAATCTCTCCAATTGTGAGAAATACAATGAGCTTCCGTATTTTGAGATTTTTCACGAAAAAGGTTAAAATAAAAAGCTGGATGCTCTTAGCTAAAACATATAGAGTTTGTTGACGTTGTATTCACGTGTAATGTATTCAGAACATCATTAACCCAATTCTTACAAAACTAAGCATTTAAAATGTCCCTTGTATTTTCTTTTATTAAAGCCGCATACGTAAAAACCAATTTACAGAATTGCCATGGATGGTACTAAAACGTAAATACTATGATTGATATCAGTAGCCTCGCAACTGTGCTTCCCTACTTGTGAGTGGAACATATCGTACTGAAGTTTCACTACGCACACTCACAGAACCATCTTCCTTCTTATCAACAACTTTAAGTTCCTGAAAAACGTTCCCAACTGGAATGACTAACCTGCCCCCGGGCTTCAGTTGATCGATCAGTGGTTGTGGAATTTCGGGTGCTGCTGCCCCAACATGAATAGCATCATAAGGTGCAAATTCCACCCACCCTTCTCTTCCATCTATCATTATTACAACACTCATAAATTAAAGCAAAAAAATAAATGGATTAATTAAAAAGTGAGATGTATGATGACACACCGCCGACATGTAAGGCGAGAGATCCGTCTTTGAGTAATGGAGCAGCAGCGCTTTTTTCAATGTTTTTAATCGACATTGTAACCAATTCGGGGATGTGGTCCACACCGATTGCATGACCTTGTGGGCCCACCATAAGTGCAAAGCATGCGGTCAAGTATCCGGTTCCTATAAAATTTTCATTAATTATAGAGTCGATGTCGTTAAATAGTAACTAAGTTTCACAATTTGACAGTATTGATAAAGTGACTGAATGGGTAATGACGTGTGTCGTTAAATAGTAACGTTTGTTTCTTTTTTATAACGAATAAACCATCTAAATGAGTGTTTTACACTTTTACTCTTACATTCCCAACTAATAATTTTTCACGATATTCATTGATTTTAATGTATATTCATCAATTTAACTTGAGAGGAATTTGGTGGAAAAAAATATGAAAGACAAAATTGGTATAGGGTTGGTATATTAATACAGTAAGCAAGGTTTTTTGGCTTAACCCATTGAGTAAAAAAGAAACAGCTTTATGTGGTCGTCCTGATTAAGTGCTTAAAGTGAAAACGAAACAACCCCACTAAGGTCAACGGACCAAAAACACAATTTTTTGTCCTATCAATTTACCCTCTGTGTAAAAGACGTAAATGTCCTCCTCAGCCTTATCATAGAAAATAGCTTAAGAAAACTTATCCTTTTTCGTATAACAAACATTGAAAAAAACTTGATTTTAAGGTTTAACCACTCAACTTCTAATGAAGTTCCAAATGTCATCAAAACTTTGAATTCTTCTAACTCACTTTTGGATGGGTGCACAAATTTATAAGCTTTTGTTTTCGTACAATTATTTTTTTTGTAATGCAAGGGTTATAGTGAACTAGCGATTTTGATGATGTTTCTATTGATTATAGTATTGATGTTCTGTCCCTTTTACCTTGAGTACTTCATTAATGAAAGGTAATTTTACGTTCACTTCAATTGTTTTTTTTTTTCTTATAAAAGGTTACTATTAATTGATAACATATGTTCGAAGAAAAAGTTCATTACATGAAAGCACATAGTTCACACTTTACATAAGCTTATAATCCATGGGCATAATGACACAGTTCACAAAAACAATTACACCAGCTTACACACAATCAAAAGTTTGAGTGGTTGGATGGCTAAACCTTTTTTGAGATCTCAAAAATTTCACATATTGGAACAAAACTGTAAGTTGAGTTAAACCTCTTACATAACTTTGGGTGCCCGAGGTGAAACAATTGTGAAACTTTGTACTTTTAAAAGTCATAGACTTCCATCATATGTAAAGCTAAGTGAAGATAAAAGAATAGATATAATGAGAGAATACCTGAACCAACATCTAAAGCATGCATCCCAGGCTGTAGATTTTTCTCCAACAATTGAAGGCAAGTAGCATGCATGTGAGGTGCAGAAATGGTGGCATTGAAGCCTATTTGCATAGGGCTGTCTTCATAGGCTGAGGATCCATCAGGTACAAACAATGCCCTGTCCACAGTCTCCATCACTTCAGCCACTTTTTTCGACTGAATAACTCCATAACGCTGCAAATGCTCCACCATTCCTTTATTCTTATTGATGCTGCTTGCAGCCCAATATCGCTGTATGAATACAAAAACCATATTCAACTAAAAGATAACACACTGTTACACTTCATTACATGTTTAAACTGAAAACAGCCAGCAATATTAAGAAGATCAAAGAGCATCTAGCACCAAATCTTGGCCTCTTATCCAGAATATGCTTACAAGTCACTGTTTTAAGTTTAACAAATTATGCGAGACATTTAAGGGTTTAGGCATTCTGATTGATTAGAAATGGATATAATTTGGTTTCAAACAATCATAGGGTTTGTAGTTAGTAGAAATGAACTATTACTTAGCTATAACAACACCGTTTTCTAGTGATTCACGTACCAAATTCAATTTGACAAAACATAGAGTCCATTTCATCGATTTTTTTCTTTATAAGCCCGTTATATGTATTCCACAAATTGTTTGCTCAAATATTGGTAGCATTTACACCTATAACAAGACGCAACATCTAAAGAGAGTAGCAAGGAAAATGATGTGAAGAAGCACACATAGCATCGAAATTCAATAGAAATGTCGAGTGTTCGCTTAGACGATCATCGCAACAATTTAAGCAGCTAAAAACCCAAAAACAACACAAATCTGCAGAAATCGGAATCGAATATCGAACGGACGCGATTTCAAGTCATGGTGCCGTAACCACAAATTATAACAGAATAAATTTAAACACAACATGAATAACGAATCCAAATCAAGGAAATATGTTAAAAAGATCACCTCCATCCTACGAAACAAAGAATTGCCCGTGAAAGACGCCGAATTTGGAAGACTGCAAGACGATGTGGAGGTTGCGACGAGAACGGAGCACGGGGAGCAGAGCGGAGGACGGCGGAGGGGACGTTGATGAGAGAAGTACCGGATAGAGCGCTGCTTTAAAGGGGGGATATGGCGGAAGCTGTACGCTACAACTGAACTCGACATTTTCATTTTCTTTTTCACTTTTCTTTTCAGTTGAAGCTTCAGGTACCCGTAGATACCTCCACGCGTTACCGACTAAACTGTACGACACGTGCCCACCTCTTCCGGATTTTTCCACTCCAGTAGGCCTATTCAGCCCATTTAATTGACCCAGAATAATTTAACAACATAAACTCATAAAGAAGCCCAACCTACTAATGTAACGAAAAAGATAACGAAAAAGATGGGCTCATGAATTGACAACAAAATGGACTTGCTTAATATTTTGCGATATTAATTAAACCTGTGAATTCTCGATCAATGTTTACTTTTTTTTTTCTTTTACTATATATTAATTATGAAACTAGCTCTAGATACAATCATCTTCTTTCTTTCGTTTTTCGATTAAATAGTCGACGATAACGATGATGATGCTTTAGATATATCCAAATAAGTTGTTTCAAACCTTTAAATATATATTAATATAGACACTCGTGAAGATTATCTCTTTCATGGGTTGTTCTTTTGCATCATTATATATAATAACATTCTAAAACTTGTTTGTTTATAGTGGTTTTTTAGTGGTCTTGAAAAAACAAAAAACCAGCATAAAAATATATCAAGAGAAAAAAAAATAACGACAAGTTGAAAGAGTTTAATTAATTGGTATTGGTACATAATAAGGAAAACACACATCTTATTATAATGATTAATATGTGTAGTCTAAGATTTTTGGGTTTTTATTCAAAAATTGTTTAAAAAACATAAACATAGCAATGCAAGACTTAAGATTTGAATGAAAATAAAACTAGTTTTATTCCCACCAAAAAATCATTTTGCAAGACTTAGAAAGATTACAATAACCAAAAAAATGAATGTGTTACAACCTTTGAAAACTTAGGTTTCTTTTGGCAATTAGGAAGTCGATAAAAAAGAATAAGCTTTTTAAAAGTATCCACTAACATTTAGCCAACTTGATAAAATGTTAGTCTTCATCTTGTAATAAAAGAATCTCGTAGGGCTTTAAGAACAAAACAAAGTTTTTGTTCTAAAGGAGAGTTCAAGTAAAGTATCAACTTCTTCTTACTTTGATCTTAACACTTTAAGAGACAAAATTAAAGAGAATATGGAAATGAGAAGCTTAAATTTCGTGATTTTTAGCTTATGAAAGAAGGGAGAAAACTAGTTATTTTAAGTCTTTACTTTAAGCCTTTTTTTTCTCATGGGTCTTAACACTTTAAGACTCATGTTTTATCAAATCAACTAGCCATGCTTTCTAAGAGCATGATGTGTTGAATAAATTAATCACAAGCAAGTCTTTTTTCTTCTTTACGGTCTCCTTGAATATTTTATAAAAAGAAGAAGCTAGTTTTTCTATAAAAACTCTTCTAATTTTTATAACTTATAAAACATATAAATTCATATAAGACAAAAAAACTCTTGTTGTCCAAAAAGATGTACATAAAATAATAAATCATACCTTATGATATATTATGATATGTTTTGATACTTAACATTTAAAATTAATATTTTCATTAAATAAATAATTTTCAATTAATTACAAGAATTATATTTATTTATCAAGGATTAAATTCTTATTCTTATAAATAATATATTTGTATCAAGTTGTTGTTACTGTGACCCTTTAGGATCATATATTAGCATGGTTCTAAAAAAGTGCACCATGGCTCACCTCAAGGCGTGCCATGGCGCACGGCGTGGTGTAGCCGTTATGGAAATGTCCAAGGCGAGTTTATTAAGTGTGACGCTCAAATAATATATCAATGCGCGCCTTATTGCGTTATGGCGCGAGCTTTTTTCAAGGCACGGTTTTTTTGTTTTTTGTTTTTTCTAACCTGGCCTAAAATAATTGAGTTTTATTAACTTTTTTATATTAAATACTAATATAACACTTCTAATGTAACATCTCAAAAATCACAATAAAATTTTCATTTTTCAAATTAGTAAAAATTATTGTTTCAATCAAAAACCAATTCATAAGAACCAAATATCCAAATACAAATATCCCAAAATCTGAGTATCATGAAATCTCCAAAATATATCACTACAGGATGTGTACGATCACGCATTCGCATTGCCCCGATCATTAGAAGTACGTAAAACATAACACTTAAACTGTAAGTCAAAGCTTAGTGAGTTTCCCCAAAATACCACCACATAACATATAACATCATGCATATTGGGTCTACAATCATCGGACTGGATTACCCATGAGCCCACAACATGAGTCTGGTCTGCCCATCTATCTTGCAGCCCATGTTTGGATTACTCTCGATCTCACAGCATAAGTTTGGTTTACCTTTCTGGCCCACAGCTTATGACTGGTTTGCTCTCGGGTTTGTTGGCTTCCGCACAGAGCAGTATTGCATCAACCCAATCGCACTATGTCGACATATGCAACAAATAAATGTATAACCAGCAAACAGATAATCATGCAGATCTATCAGATCACTACATCATAACAACATCCTATATACCAAGATACATAACCTAGTGGGCCAGCATTGGTGCCTTCGACCCACAAGTACAGTGAGGAAAACTTACCTCTCGGTCTGAAAAAATAAATGAACAAATCATTGCTCTGAATATTGCCTCTACTGATCGCCTACACAAATAACAGGAACATAAACTCAACTACCACTCAAAATACCCAAAATGCCCCTAAGTCAACTTGGTCAAACCCTTAGTCAAAGGTCCAAGTCAGAAAGTCAAAAAGTCAAGGGAATGTCAACACAGACTGAGTACGCCCTGCGTACTCAGTTACTACGTTGTGCATAGTCGTGACCCATCCAAACCACGGGGCCTTTGCCCAATACGCGCAACATACCACCTGATACGCCCAACATATTCAGCCTGAATCCACCCCTCCTCATAACGTGATTAATTCATTAATACTTCACATCCAAAACTCATATCTAGATCCAAATGTCATTCTAAGTCATAAAGTTTCCACCTTTATGACTTTCCATTGCTAGAAGTGGTCAAAAATCAAAACCTTAACTTAATACTCAAACCAAAACACCATAACTCTTGCATGGAAGGAAGAAAAGGACAAAGATCATATTTTTAACGTTGACAACTCTTATGGTTTAGAGTAAGCCATACTCATGAACATTAAGACTATGACACCAAAATGCGTAAAAATTATGAACTAGCAAGATCCAAGGAGAATATTCATCAATTTTCTAACTTTATACCTTCTGAAGGTTGCTTGCAAGGTGGAAGTTCTAGATCTACAACTTTTTGAAGCTTCCAAGATGATTACATTATCTTCTTCTTCCTTCAAGAACACAAATACACACTCTCAAGCTAAAAAAAGGCTCACATAATGGATTAGGGTTTGCGACAGACGTTTTGGGAGATGGAGGCTGATGAAGGAAAGGGTTTTGAGGGGTAAGGATATTTAAATAGTACTTTAACCCTAAAAATTAGGGTTTGCTCACCTACCAATTATGCGCAACGTACTCACATGCACACGCGACCTTCGTAAAAAGCTACGCCATGCGTACGCCCCAAGTACGAATGGCGTAAGGACCAAAATTCAACATAATTTATTCTTTGGGTCAAAAAGGAAATTACCTGACATTCGGGTGTACTCACATGCAAACGCGACCTTCTTAAAAATCCATGTCATGCGTACGCCCAAAGTACGCATGGCGTAAGGACCAAAATGCAACATAATTTATTCTTTGGGTAAAAAGGGAAATTACCTGGCATCCGGACGTTACAATTATCCCCCGCTTGAATCAAACTTCGTGCTCAAAGTCCGATGTTGTGAATAACTCGGGGTAGTGCTCTCGCATCTCTGCCTCGGGTGTACAAGTCTATTCGAAACCCATCTGATGCTGCCACTGGACTTTAACCAAAGGAACCACCTTGTTGAGAAAGGTCATTGTCTTCCTATCCAAAATCGCCATCGGCCTCTCAACATAGTTCAGACGTTCATCGAACTGAATATCATCCAATGGAACCACTGTCGAATCACCAGCCACACATTTCCGTAGCTGAGAAACATGAAAGGTGTTGTGGATCTGTTTGAGCTCCTCAAGCAGATCCAACTGGTAGGCTACTCGGTCTACCTTGGCTAACACTCGAAACGGCCTAATATATCGGGGACCCAACTTGCCCCTCTTTTTGAAACGTAGTACATCGTTCCGGGGTGATACCTTCAGTAAAACCATATCATCGACCTGGAACTCCAACTCGGATCGACGCCTGTTAGTATAACTCTTATGTCGAATCTAAGTTGTCTGCAACCTTTGTCTGATCTGTTGGATAAACTCTGTCGTATGAAGAACTACCTTGGTCTCTCCCATGACCCTTTGACCGATCTTTCCCCAACAGACCGGGGTATGACTATTCCTCCCATAAAGAAGCTCAAATGGCGGTGCATCGATACTGGAGTGATAGTTGTTGTTATAAGAAAACTCATCCATAAGAAGGTAGGAGTCCCAACTCCCACCAAAATTGATAACACGGAATCTCAACATATCCTCGAGCGTCTGGATGTTCCGCTTGCTTTGGTCGTCAGTCTGCGGATGATAAGCTATGCTACCCAGTTCCTCGTGGAACATCTACCAAAATCAAGAAGTCAACAGAACATCTCAGTTAGATACAATGAAAACTCGAACACCATGTCGAGCAATAATCTCGCACATATACACATCGGCCAATTTCTCGGACAAGTAACTCTCCTAAATAGCTAAAAAGTGGGGATTCTTGGTCAGAGGGTCCATAATAACCCATATCGCATTAAATCCCTTAGTCGTTCGGGGTAACTTGGTGATGAAATCCATGGTGATCTGTTCCTATTTCCACATGGGAACCTCCAAAGGATGAAGCTTTCCATGCGGTCTCTGGTGCTCGACCTTGACCATCCGACATGTCAAGAACCCCTCAACATACCAGGCTATCTCCCTCTTCATGCACGACCACTAGTAACTAAGTCTTAAATCCCGGTACTTCTTGGTGGCTCCATGGTGTATCGAAAATATGGACTTATGTACCTCCTCCATCACAGTCTGGCTGACTCCGCCAAAATCTGG